CAAATGATTCCCCCATTTGTGGAGTATAACAATGACGCAAAACTGAAGGAACCAAATAGCAGCAGACTCAGAGACTCCAAGAAAGAACTAGTAGTTACCAAAGGGGAGGGGTGTGGAGGGTGGGCAGGGGGGAGGGAGAAGGGGATTGAGGGGCATTATGTTTAGCACACATGGTATAGGGGATCACGGGGAAAGCAGTGTAGCACAGAGAAAGCAAATAGTGAATCTGTGGCATCTTACTACACTGATGGACAGTGAGTGTATTGGGGTATGGGTGAGAACTTGATAATATGGGGAAATGTAGTAACCACATTGTTTTTTCATGTGAAACCTTCATAAGAGTGTATATCAATAATACCTTAATAAAAAATGTTTTAAAAACATAGGCTAAAATCTCTTGAGTATAATAAGCCTGAGCAATTTTTTCCTGGACACATCTCCTTGAGCAAGGGAAACAAAATAAAAAATGAACAAGTGGGACTTCATCAAATTAAAAAGCTGTACAGCAGCGGACACCACCAGCAGAAAAAAAAGGCATCCTACAGTATGGAAGAATATATTCATAAATGACTCATCTGATAAGGGGTTAACACCCAAAATATATAGAGAACTAATGCACCTCAACACTCAAAAAACAAATAACCCAATCAAAAAATGGGCAGAGGACCTGGACACTTCTCCAAAGAAGAAATACAGATGGCCAACAGGCACATGAAAACATGCTCCATATCACTACTTATCAGGGAAATGCAAACTAAAACCACAATGAGATACCACCTCACACCAGTTAGAATGTCCGCTATCCAAAAGACAAGAAACGGCAAATGCTGGCGAGGATGTGGAGAAATAGGAACCATCCTACAGTCTTGGTGGGACTGCAAACTGGTGTGACTGCAGTGGAAAGCAGTATAGAGGTTCTTCAAAAAACTAAAAATAGAAATACTATTTGACCCAGGAATTCCATTCCTAGGAATTTACCCAAAGAAAACAAAATCCCTGACTCAAGGATAAATAAGCACCCCTATGTTTATCACCACACTGTTTGCAATAGCCAAGATAGGTAAGCAAACTAAGTGTCCATCAATAGATGAATGGAAAAGATGGGGCACATATACACAATGCAGTATCATTCAGCCATAAAAAGAAAGAAATCCTGCCATTTGTGACAACATGGATGGACCCAGAGGGTATTATGCTCCGTGAAATAAGCCAGGCCGAGAACCTCACACCCCCTGTTTTGAGAGAAATCTTCTGCATCCGTGGATGTTTTATT